GAATGAACCCCGGGTGTCAGCCTCTGGGAGGGAGGTGGACGCTAGCAGGGACGGGGCTGTCTCCAGGCCGCCACGCCTGAGGCCTGGCGGGCACACACGGTCAGCTGGCCCTCGCCGAGCAGGCAGGTGCTGGGCCGTGCGGCTGCTTCTCGGCAAAGTGAGCCTCAGAGACGCGAAGGCAGAGCCAGGACGGGAGCTGCGCGGGTCGGGCGCCCCTCCCGGGGCCTGTCGGTGTCCCAGGCACCATCCCCTGGCCACGCGCCCACCGCCCGGCCTGCGGGATGTTGGCACGCTCTTCCCACAGCCGGTCTCCGGCAGACGGGCGCACCGTGCGGCACCTGGAGGCGGCCGGGCGCTGCCAGGCCAGCTGTGCTGTGCTCAGCCGTGGGACAGGAGTGCCCCGCCCCCTACTGGCCAGCGGATGTGAGCACGGGCGCTGCCCCAGAAAGTCCTGCTGCTGGGAGCTGGGACCAGCAGCCCACGGAGCACCTCGCTCACCCCAGCAGGCTCGGGACCTCGGTTTAGATCCAGGCCACGAGTAGGTCCTGAGGCCTCGGACCTGCCAGAGCGCATGGGGGATTTATCTTTTCGCCAGGACTTCGCCTTTTTGGGCTAGTTTTAGGGTTACAGCAACGTTGGTTGGAAGGAAAGTAGAGATTTCCCAAACCCCTCCCCTTCCCCCACCCCACTCCTGGAGGAGAAATCTAACAGACAACGAACCTCCAGTGAGACATCAGCACCCCAAGTTCATAATCGATGCTGGGGCGCGCTCTGGAGGTGCGTGTGCTGCAGGTTTGGACGACAGTGTCACGCGTGTACCCACCACATGGGTGTTTTCACTGCCCCCAAAATCTTGTCCCGCCTGCCCGGCCCCCCCAGCCCGGCCCCCACTTGCCGCATCCCCACGGCTTTGCCCCATTCGGGAGCTCAGGCCCCCAGGCTGGCGTCTGGCCCTTAGTCACTCGATTGAAGGCTCCTTCACGTCTTTTCCTGTTGTGGTAGCTACTGAGTCACCATCCAGGCCGGGAAGCTTCGTAAAGGAATCTGGGAGCCCTTGTGGACCTTACAGGTCTTTAATACCGAGTAAGGGAGACCAGCGGGCCAGGAGACGGCAGCTTGAGCCCCTCCTCCGAGGGACAGCCCTGCCCTCTGGGCCCAGCTGTGTGCAGTGACACATGCACCTGCCCGGGTCCCCGGCTGGGTCCACAGTCAGGAAGGTGCCTGGCAGCAGCTGCCTGATCGATTCATTTACCTACAGCAGTTCGTTTTTCAGTGCAGAGTAATATTCCACGGTCAGTGGAATCCTCCGCCCCTACTGGGGACATCTCGGTTGCTCTCAAGTTTTGACAGTTCTGACCGAAGGTGCTGCGCCCGTGGGGCATGCTTTTGTGCAGGTTTTAACGCCTTCGGGTAGATGCCAGGGGCCGACGGCCGGGACTGCTCCCGGTTTGTAAGGCCCGGCCACGCCGCCTCCCCCTCCCCGGCAGCTGCACCGCCGTCAGTGTGGTAACGCGTCGGCCTCGGGTGTCCGTGTTCGGGAGCGGCTGCGTTAGTAGGGAGGTTGTTCCATCGCTATTTTAACTTCCGTTTCGCCGGTGCCCTGCAGCACTGTCACGAGCGCCTGCCCATTCTCCACCCGCTTCTGGGTCGGGCTGCGGCTTTCTTACCGCTGAGCTAGGAGTTCCTTGAAGCTGGGTGCCGGGGTCAGGTGTGCTTCTCGCCAGCACTTTCTCCCAGTCTGTGTCTTGCCTTCTCACCTCCCAGTGCGGACGAGACAGTCTCGACAGGGCCAGCGGCTGCTCTCCAGACCTGCCCTTGGCGTCGCGTCGGCGGCCGTGGGGGGGCCGGGGCGGGGCCGTGAGTTTCCCCCTGAGCCCTCCTCTGCGGCTTCCGGAGCTCTGTCTCACGCTTAGGCCTGTGACTCGCTTGGAGCACGTTACTGGTGAAGGGCTGAAGGTCTTAACTCATCTGGGGGAAGCTCCGCACCCCTCGACTGCTGTCTGTGAGCTGCTTTTCCCACGTGGTCCCCGCAAGGGCACCTGTGCTCCTCTCCAGGCGGCCGAGCGGGTCTCGTGACAGACTTGCTGGTGAACCTTAGGCTTCGAGGGCCTGAAGGACACACCCAGGCAGCAAGCCCGAGCCCGCTACATTATGCATTTTCATGTCCCAAGTTCCCCTAGTCAGCAGTTGAGATAGTTGAGATCTTGACATGTGGTCAGAAGAAAGAAAAGAGAAGCGCATATCTCAAAGGAAATAGGAACAGCCACCGCAGCTACTCTGTGCCAGGCAATCCTGTAGGCTTTCCTGGGAATTGTTTCTGGCGGGACCAAGCGGCAGGTCACGTGACAGTCGGCGAGAGACACGATGGACCCTGTGACCTGCTACTGGCTGGAAGGTTCCGGAACACCGGGCGAGGTGCTGCGGGGCTCCACCTGGCCGTCTATAGAGTGTCGTGAAAGGAGCAGAGACCAAAGGCCACGCCCGCTTGGCCCCGCCCGCTCCCTTCGGGCCCCATGGCAGCTAGACCCGGGCACAGGTGTTGCGGGGACTGTCCAGGACGAGCAATTCTTCTCACCCAGTGACTGAAAGAGCCGCCAGCCGCCACGTTCGCGACCCTCCCGCATGGCGGCTCACGGTCCTCTGCACACTGACATGTGGAAGGGGCGTCTGCGGGGCTCCTCAACAGCAGGTTACAAGAGCACGTGCAAGAGGGACCCCTGAGGACGCCGGAAGCCCAGCGGCACCCCCGCGCGGCCGCCGCCCTTACTCCGAGCGCCGGAGACGCGGCTCTCAGGAAACAGAAGGCGCCCCAGAACAGAAGTTCAGAGGATTCGAATAAGGGGCGGTTTGCGGGGGGGGGAGGGGGGGCGGCGGGAGCAGAGGGGCCAGCGCTGCAGGTCCCCGAGGGAGAGCAGCCTGGGCGGACCCTGGGAGGCCGGGAGCCTTCCCTTGCCCCCAGGCCGCTTGGAGGGGCCCCCAGAAAAGCAGGGGAGCACGGGTCTGGGGGCCGCACAGGCACCCACACTGTGTCCACAGGTGCCGGTCACGTGGGGCCGCGCCTCGGTGAACACGGCAGAGCCGAGGCCTGTCTGGGAAGAATGTCCTGGCGGGCGGCCCCCGGAGAAG